AAATATCTTGGTTGTTCAATACATGTAGTTGGCAAGTTCGAAGTTGCGTTATGCAAATCCCAGAGATTATTTTTAACTGAGTTACGATGATTCTTCTAAGACGGCAGTCTTAAGTAAATATTTCAATTTATTGGTCTGTAAAATGTAAATGCAAAACTTTAAAATAGATAAGTCTGCATTATGATGTCCCAAATAGGTTATTATTGTGTCACATTTCAGAGTTCTTTGGGAAATCCTAGAACATTTAGATGATACGTTTCTTGGACTTATCTTTAAACCGCACTTATCCCTATATGTAGTATTAGATTCCTTTAGAGACAGAAGAAATGTTTTATCCAAAATGTTATGAACCCTTTCCGCATTTTGTACTTTTGTTGCATGGAAATATGACGAAGTAGATGCACATTACCCTTTAGACTCTGTAGATCGTGTATTCAATACTGCGTATCTTTCTATATTTCGGATGACAATGCTTACATATTAGGAATGTAGTGCAACAAAGGATGTTAGTTGCAGTAAATTTTACATCATTAATGAATTATTAATAATTAATTAATGGATCATTCATGAATAATTGATGGCTTTTTAGTAAGTTACATGCATCTTGAAATTTACGAATATTATTGTATACTTAATTTTTATTAATGTTTTATGTTTCAATTCAACTTTGAAATTAAATATAATAGCATAATTATTCTACAGATTATCAGATATAACTTTTGTAAATATCTGTAACGTTTGGTTTACTTGTAGCTTTGATATATTCGTTTTTTACATTGTCATACCTAAAAATGTAAGTACAGTTTATCCAGTATATCTATTTTGATAAAACTAGGCGTAAAATATGTGTTTGAATTTTGTAAAATGTTTAAATCATTGCCGATTGATGACATCAAACACAAAATGCTTATCCATGTACTTCCAATTAAGCTGCAGTGTTTGTTAGAAACATACATATACATATCTAAAAAAATGCAAATGATCATTTTCAAGAAAGTGTCGATATTGATGAGCAGTGTGAAAATTAATGAACACTTTGTCTAATATAAACACGTTTTTGCTATGGTAACATCGCTGTATTGAAAATTAAAATATAATACATAAACTTACAAAAACTGCTTACCTTTGTTTTAAATCTAAAGCGTGCCCCTTTATTTATTGTGCTTCACGTCCTTCTGCCTTTTATTTTTCATAATACATTCACTAAGATTAATTTTATTTAGCACATAAAATTTATTTTTTAATCTGTGTTTCACTCGTGCTAAGATCCCAGGATAGATTTATTTGTATACTCGGAGTTTATTTACTCTATCCTAAATCATTTTTCGATATACAGGTATCTTTCAAATGCTCAACGAATTGCTGTGCTGCTTTGTATTTTCAACTAGTAAAATAATTACGCTTTTCTTTCAAATGCTTGCTGTGAAACAATCGTTTAAAACCAAAGCATTTTGTTTAATCAACTGTCGTGTTTTAGCCCATCCAGCTTTGCTTATTCGCTTTAAATTCTAAATATTGGTGACGTAGTCTTGTGTCGTAAAAAGTACTGTATCCTATGATTCTTAACTGTATAGTATTATTATAGTTTAATTCTCATTTAGTACTATTTCCTGCCAAGTAGTAGCCATAGTATTCTACAAAACCTTTTATAGTACCCTTCTCTATTATTAGCATTATACCTTTATTTAGTATTCTTCTTACTGCTAGCGCTATACAAACTATTCTTTTAGTGTAGCCCTCAGTAAGATCCAAATCACTCGTTTCCTGGTAGTCCTGAAGATCAGGTCTTTAAGAGATTATAGTCCTTTATAGTCTTCTTATTCTTCGTAGAAACTTTATTTTCTGGAGAAAAATAAACGTAGATATCCTCACTTGTAGTTACCTCTTTAGTTATCCGTCGTAGTTAGTTGTAGTTGTAGCGACCGGAGGGGTAGATAATGAACCCCATGGACTTTACTTCGAGGTAAGAACCCTTTAGAGTTTGTCTCTGAATTCATTGTTTAACATATTGTGATGAAGGTACCCTTTTAGTAAATCATAAGGGTATTTCTTGTCTCATTCTGTCTGTGTATGTGATATTTTACTGTGTACATTGTATGAGAATTTTTTAAATGATTAATATTATCAGGGTTTGTTTCCACAAATGGAAATATATCAGTATTGGAGCTTTTATTTTTTTATATTCCAATTTCTTTTCTTATTTAAAGATGTTTATTGTTTAAAATATATACATATGTAGATTATGAAATGGATTGAGTTATTCTGTACTTAATTTAAACTGGTTGTTATGTGAATATTGTTATAGATTCCTTCATTTATAATGAGTTAATTATTTTTTAAATTTCTCTCTTTTTTGCAACTGTAGCATCAATATTAATTCTTAATAGGTGCATATAGAATATTTCAGAAAGATTGCATGATTAGGTATCTCTCAAAGAGTTGATCTTAGGCTAACGATCCCAGTTTAAGAAAATTATAAAATAAAATAAGCCTATAGATAGTGTCGGTTTTGTTCAACCTTTAGTAAAAAAGTTGAAATTTAAATTTTTGTACCTTACCCGTCAAAAAGAAAATCTATCAAAAACAAATATTTTTCTTATAGTAAACCAATTCCCATAACCCCCCTTCCCAAAGTCTAACCTTATGCAAGCACAATTATCTGAGGCACCTAACAATAAATTTTTGGAGACCATATACTGTATTCCTGAACATAACTATTACGTATGTAGTTTCGGGTTCAGATTTCTAAAAGATACTTATTATGTCAATCAAACATAAGCTATGTATTTAAAGTGAAAACATGAATTATGCATTGTGTACGATGGCAAAAATTAAAGAAACAACTATAAAAGTGTGCTTTATGTTAATTTTGGGAAATCATGTCTAATGAAAAGTAGTTGATTGGTAGCTCAGAGTCAATATTATCACGTAATACAATCAAATTAACATTCTCTACGCCAAACTATGCGAATTTATGCGGCCGTTCTTTCGGCACATGTAGAAAAGAGTACAAAAGATTCTAATTTCAAGGATTGTACGAGTAGCTGAATAAAATTTTCGCTTGTGGAAATTAAAAAACATCATTACGGAGGCAACAAACAAATTGCGAGATATGGCTTGCGATTGGGAGAATGGAAGCAGGACAGACAATGGTACAGGACTGTAAAGACCTAAAAGCAGCCAAAAACGTCATGGCGAGAATTGATTTAAAACACTAGTGATATAAGCAGACAACAAGCTGATGGCCGAATATACTGTCAGGATCGTAATTTAGCAACAAATGGTAAAAAAAAAAAAAAAAAAAAGACAACTGAGGTTAAACCAGATTACTCCTTAGGTACAACTCGACTATCCAGATTTATCATGAGTAACAGGCTGCATAAAAGAGGGTTACATGGCAAGGAAATCCATGATTTGTGTTCAACTAACTTGGGCTTCGAAATGCAGTTGTAAAGAGATCAGTGAGTAGGATTCGAGGCAAATGCTCTTTTACTGATAAGTCTCGTTTTTGTTTGGAAAGTGATCTCAGACGCGTTATAATCTGAAGGGAACAAAACACTCGAAATAAACCTGAAAATATTCTTAAAAGGCATCGCTGCAAAATTAGTTGAATGATGGCATGGGCGGGCATCATTTTGAATGACCCCATTGGCCTACAAATTTTTACCGGTGCTGTTGTGAATGCTGAAATATGAAGAGATTATAGATTCTTGATTCTTATATCTACTTCTTTGTGGGTGCAATCGATAAGTTCCTCAATAGACGATAATATTCTTCCACATCTGCGCGGCTCTTGTGACTATTTTGAGGGCGAAAGAATACAGAGAGTGGAGTCCTTCGCATATTCTCTGGATTTAAATTTGATAGAACATATGTGGAAGCACTAAGGCGCTGACTTACATCTTTTCAGCCCCCTTCTAGCAGTTTCCAGGAGCTTAAAGACGCTATCCTTTGTGAATGGACTTTGTTACCACGGGAACTCCTGGACAATCATATACACAGTAAGAAAAATCGCTGCAAAGTTCGCATGTCAGTCAGGGATGACTATACTCTTTATTATTTTTTTTTACGTATCTTTAAAAATTTAAAGCAAAATTTTTTCTCAACCCCCGCTTTGTATCCTATTTCCTATGCTCTTATTTAAATTAATTTTTTTGCAGAAATAGGTAATTCTGCATTTTGAAGATATGTTAGACACGGCAAAATAAAGATCTACTACAGGTTCCATGCTCAAATTATCTGATTTTTTATAGTTGTTCCTTTAATTTTTCTTCCAAGTGTATTTTGTATGAGAATCTCTAGATGCTTATAATTACAAAGGCAAATTTACAGAAGGAAACTAGTTTAGTGTTAGAATTCTTTTCTTTTTGCATGTCTCTTTGTTCTTCCTTTTTAAGATGTGGGTTTAAAATTTCCATTTTTAGAAATTCGAAAACTCGAAATCTTTATCTAAGGTGATTCTCTTTCGGCACCTACAATCGAAATTCTCTACCGTCTCTTTTCACTAGGGAAAGATGTTTAAGTCATATAATTTCAATCATAATTTCTTAGCCGATCTTGCGTATTACACAACTGATAGCAAAAGAGATCTTTATTTGGATAAAGGAGTCACTTGCTAAATAGAATTTCCTCTGCTGAAGCCATGTGTAAACATTTTAATTTTTGTACCCCCCTAAAATTTGTCTAGCGACTACAGTTTTCATCATCTGATAGGCAACTTCATTTGTTTAGCCGGAATCACGGGTCTACGACTAGTCATTAAAGAGATATTTAACCATGTAATTATTTTGAAACTCTTTGTACATATGTAGTTTAAAATGTAATCATTTCTGAAATACTATCAGCAGTTTCACTAATGATGGTATTATCTAAAACTTGTAGCATGAGTTCCTGGCGGCATGTTATGATAAAGCGTGTTAGTTTGTAGTAGCTAATCTTCCTTTGTTATTACTTCCTGCATTGTTACTAACAAAGCTTCCTTTCCTTTTGCTCGCTTCCAGTGGAGCTGAATGGTCAACAGACGTCTCCGCCTCTACTAACTCAAGCACTTTCAGGTAACTGTTTTGTGTCGTCTTAAAGCATTTGTCTTCCTTAAAGTTATTGGTCGGCTTTTGGCTCTTTGTTTGTGCTATTCTCTTCATAACATTCATTTTAACTATGTTTTGCAAATTTTGTACTTTATTGAAAAATACGTGCATTAAAATGATGAATTAATAAATTATTAAATTTACGTTTTATTAATAAATTATTTAATTTGCGTTAAAATTAATAAGCGTTAATAAAACAAACAAGTTGAGTACTTTATCGGCTGTTTCTGTTTTTAATTCTTAATCCAGGAACTATAGTATGATGTTAAGAACCCTGAATACAGAGCATGAGTTCAAGATGACTAGCCATCATTTGTTTTCCTTTTTTCTATAAGATATCTTTAGCCATCTCTGCCAATCAAAATCTAAGCTGATGCTCTAGTATCTATAGTTAGGAATTGTGCCACGACAAAGTTCTGGGAGCACGCATTATGATAATCCTTGAATGGAGTAAGCCTCTATCAGTCGAACTAAACCTTTTACTGGAAAATCTGTTGAATTTATTAAAGAAAACGCACGTCGATGTTAAAAATTATGAGAATTTTCACATTTGATCCATTATCTCCAGAACTGATAGGCAGATTTTAATGAAATTCTGCATAGACATATATTGATTATATTGCAAAAAATACATCATATAATCGTGATACACACGCATGATCGTATACAATACTCGTGATATACACGCATGATCGTGCGAAGCGTCACAAGGAAGTCTAAAATAGAGGCTGCAAGATCGAGCAAAAAAAGAAGCTAACAGTCATTCATATAATTCTTCACAGCATGGCTGCCTGTTGGAAATTAAACAGTTTCTTAGTCTCTATGGAAGTCGATCTCACTACTGCAACAATGCTGGTTTTAGATCCAGGAAGTTTCTCGGAGGAAGAAGACGAGTTGCTGAAGATCGTCTCAGACATTTCTCTATGGTTTAGGTCTGGAGATTTGGCTGAACTACCAATTAGTTGAGTATTCTCACTTTTCACGCAATCACACACTAGATTAGCTCTATTTGTACGAGCGTTTTTATTCATAAAAAGCAACTGAGGCCTAATTCTTTCCCTAAAAGGGTACGCTTAGTGTTGTAAGATTCTTCTTTATACCGCGAAGCAGTCACGGAAACTTTGTCAAAAACGTGAGTGCCGTACGCCGGTCATATATGAAGCTATCAGTTCTCTGCTATTATAAAAGTCCCATTCTCGAATGTCGGAGCACAAGTAGTGAGCTCATGGCTCTCTTCTGATGAAAATACGTCAAGATCATAGGAAAGTCAGTGTGGTAGCGGTGATTTAATAATCAAAAATAATATACGGGCGTGCTGACCTTTCATGCCTTTGACAGAGGCTCTGTGACTCTGCGAGGTCTTAGAGGAAGAGATCTTAGAGCCGTATTCGCCTTTTTCAGAATGGAAGTTGACCTTTAGTTTACTCTGATGAACGACAATGCTCGTTCGCATCGGGCTAATCTGATGAAAGAATTGTGATTATGGAAAATGAGGGTGTTAATCAGATCGCCATCCAGATGTTTAGACCTAAACCCTACAGAACATGTCTGGGGCGTTTAGTTATCATTTTCTCGCTTCCAGAACTCTCCAGCATTTGAAAACAGCGTTGCGGCAGGAGTGGGACCGACTGCCCTAGGGACTCATAAACTGCCTCATTAGCAGTATGAAATGATATTTTGAGAGTTGTTTGACAGTTACAGGATACAATACCTCACATTAGCTTTCTGTTTTTGTTTGATTTTTGCAGTCTCTGTTTTAGACCTTTCGGCGCTAAAGGGCCCTAAGTACGATTATGCTTGTGTATCATGATCTGCTGCTTAGTGTTATTTTTATTCATTTATACTTTTAATTATTATATCGACCTATGTCCATCCCAGATTTTATTAAAACCTGTGCATCATCTCTGAGAATAATCGACAGAATGTGAAAATTCTGTTAATTTTGAACACCAGTGTAGAGAGCTGCAATGACATTAATTGGGGAAAATCTTGAGAAGACCTTTTTTGTTGTGCTGCTATTGGTGAAAGCCAGTGATCATATACCACTCACACAAAGTAGCAAAGGGACAAAAAGTTGGCGGGTTCATACCTGTAATAGCAAACAGGAAAAAAGGCAACATTGTAACAACTTGCTGTCCAGAGCGAAAATTCGGAATTTACTTTGCTAGCTTTCTTCCTTGCTGTTTCATGTGTACTAATTTGTTTCCTAAACCCTACGATAAGCCTCTTCTGTACTTAAAAATAAGGACTTAAATTTATTAATATTTTTACTTTTGAATAAAACTTTTGTAGACTTTGTAATCTAGTTGAAAATTTTGTATTTTTCTCAATTTTTTTCATTCTGCGCGGTATGCTATGATTATATTTGAAGATTAAAGAGCTAGTTGTTTTAAAAATTCTGTTAATTTTTCTATTGTTCGAACATTTTATCAATTGCATAAATATTTTTTAATAAAATGTATTGTACATCTCATTTTCCCTTTCTTGAAGCTGAATTAACTTTTTAAATCATGTGTGAAATAACCGACACTGCAATCAAAAATATAAAAGAGTTTCATATTTCATCTATTCACTTTATTACGATTACATTGGAAAGAAATCTATGGACATAAAATTAACTACTTTTGTTTAATTTGTGTGAAAATTACTTGAACAGAATTTTTAGAACTAGCAGCTTTGAAGGCCTTTCTTTGAACTTAATCACCTTAAATCTTTTCAAGATTTGGTAGAAATAATTAATAAGGGAATTTTGTTGTATTCAGTATTTTCCTGAATTTCATTACTTCTCATTTTGTATCTTTATTTATTTCATTAATATATATATATATATATATATATATACTATATTAATTAACCGTAATAAATTGCCTAATACTTTCGCAAAAGCTGCGAAGTAATAAAATAATAATTTATTTACTGATGGATTATTTAGTATATTATCTCCTTTGATAAAGGTAGTAGAATTTTAGTGTCTTACAGTAATATCTCACGATTTTGAAATTCATTTTAAACTTAACGGAACTACCAATTTCATAATGAATTCTGTACAGTGCTTTAACTTAAATTCATCTCACTTAAAATCTACCTACTTAGCTTGAACTCATCATATTAAATACCTGTAATTCTTACTTGAGTAAAAGACGAAACACCTTCGCATTTATTGTTATTGGGGTTGATTTGTTCCCCTTGAAAAGTCAACCAATTTCCGGTCAATGACGATAATTACTTGGTTTGTTGATTAAATTTTCATTTTTTAAATATTTCCATTTTCAATTTATTTAATTTTAAAAAATTTCAAGATTCATTTTTTAAATATGCTTGTAAGTTACTTCATTCCACTAAAATTCTACTACCTTTATCAAAAGATATAATGCACTAAATAATCCTTTAGTATATAGATATATATTAATATATATATATATAGTTTAGAAATACTAATATATATATATATATATATATTGTTTGTTAATATTAATTAACATATTTACATTCGATTGCAGTAATACAAGTAATGCAATACAAGTCTAAAAATACTAATTTAAAATACTAATTAAAACACCGTATAAAATTTATTTATTATAATAACGTATGGTTTTAATTGAATTTCTGTTCCTTGGAGATGGCATTACAAAGTTTTCTAATGATAAATTATGTGTTTATTACTTTGCAGCTTTAGAGCAAGTTATGGGCTTATTAATATATTCTTAATTACATATATATATATTATATTAATTACATATATATATATTAATTATAAATTTTAAGTTTAAATAAATAAATGAGAAAATAATAGTAATAATATTATGGCTGTTGTTAATGGATGCCATTTTTGATTGCACGTTGAATGTTAACAAAATCTGACTCGGTAATATTAACATTTATATTTAATTCTAGGATGATATATACTTTAACATATATTCACTTATACACAATCACATTGCATGTAGTTACAAGATGAGCATTTTTCAGTTCGCAAGTCCGCATAAGTAAAAATCAAGAAAATCATATTACAGCTACGATAACATCACGGAGGGAAAGAGAGGTGAGTGCGTGCTTCACCGACGGCAGCCAGGAACCGAGTAACCAGTTCGAATTTTCCTCCAGAGAGGAAGAGGAGAAAGCTGGTAGCGCCCTCTCTCGGGGCAGCGAGACAAATAATAATAATAAAGAGTTCTCCACAGTATTCCCCCCCCCCCGAGTACCAAAGGTACGATGAAAAAAAAAAAAATCAGTTCACAAATATCTGGTGTTGAAGCGCACACGTCTTCCCGATCGTGTGACGACTGGTGGAGCACTGGGAGGAAGCGTAAGGTCGGTCGAAGGAGGAGTATCCGGAGTAGCAGTTGGATCCGGGGAGTCAGGAGGATCGCTGGTCACAGGAACCTGAGTGTTTGAAGCTTCGAAGAAAGCAGGCTTCAGACGATCTATGCTCAGGACGGTTTCCTTGTCGCGCACGAGAACGGTGAAATGCTTATTGTTACGTGCACAGACCTTGAAGGGTCCATCGTATGGAGGAGTGAGGGGTGGTTTGACCGCGTCGTTTCGCACAAACACGTGAGTGCAAGTGCTCAGTGCGTGGTGCACGAAAGGGGCAGATTTGTTGTGGCCCGAAGTAGGAGTCGGAAACAGCTTCTTCATCGCCTCTCGGAAAGTCTGGACAAAGGATGCTGGATCGACTGGAGCAGAGGATGGCTGAAAGAACTCAGATGGTAATCGAATAGGTGTGCCGTAGACAAGTTCAGCGGATGTACCTGCGAGGTCTTGCTTGAAAGAAGAACGCAAACCAAGAAGCACAAGAGGAAGTGAAGTAGTCCAACGGGTGTCATTACGGCACTTCAGGGCTGCTTTCAGGTCGCGATGTAAGCGTTTCACTATACCGTTGGTGGAAGGATGGTATGGTGAAGTGCGGATTCAGCGTATTCCAAGCATAGATGTCAGAGAAGCGAAAAGGTGTGACTGGAATTGTC